GGTGGTCTGCGGTGCAACCGGACAGGGCGGCGGTGTTGGTGGCATCATGGTCGGCGCCATCGATGGCGGCGGCGGCGGTATGGCCTAGAGCATGGCCGAAGGTAGTGGCGGCGGTGAGGACACAACTCCATTGCAGTCAGTCGGGCATGCTGTCCTCGGTGACCAGACGTTCGAGACGGGCCCGCTCCTGCTGCTCACAAAGCAAGCGATGCTACAGATCTACAAGAAAGTTGTGAAAAATGACTATCACTTTTGGATAATAGTACTGAAAAAGTAGCTGATCGCACTAGAACAAAAAATGTCAAAATTACGATCACTTTTAGTAATTAAAGTAGTCAACATTAGCTGGTCACACTACAAAAAGCTTGTGACAAATTATATGGTCACACTCTCTTGAAAGTCGTGAATAAGAGCTGCTCACGCTGCAAAAAATTGAAATTTTTTAGAATTGCATACCTTTGGGGTGAGGTGCAGCATACTTTTAGTGTGTACAATGAAATTGCAGATAATTTAATTCGCTAGCTGCTGCTAGCTATTTTCCAATATTGGGGTTCCAATTACCTCTTTGCGGTTGCTGCGAATCCTCCGCCTTCATCTCGGTGGTCTGCGCGCGCTGCACCGCCTGCGAATGCAGGGGCGACACAAGAGGATCCTGAAGGAACGAACTAGCGGCTAGCTAGCTGCTTGTCGGGATCCTTGGGATCGCTACTCTACCTGCAGCACAACCTGCTGGACCACCCGATCGATCAGCAGCCAGTGCTCCGTGCAGTGACCAGTATCTGCGCATGAAGAGGGTTAAAATTAGCTCAGCTTAGGACAAGGACACTCAAGTAGTACTCACAGGACAGCAGAAGCATGTGCTGTTAGGGAGAGGATGTGAGAATAGGCGGGCAAATGGCTGAGCAGGGTGGTGCAGTTCTGGGCCCGTGACATAGCTGCATTGCAGCCACTCAGACCGGCCACCTTCTGGTCATCGTGTATGCTGCCTCCTTCTCCTGCATGCGCAGATCGAGCTCCTGCTCCTTCTTCGCAAGCCGAAACTGCACATCAAAATCCTCACGTTCAGGCTCATCAATACGCTTGCGTGCTTGCGTTAGTTGCTCCTCTTTGTTTAGCAGACGCACCAGCTAGCCCACATCGATTTGCAGAGGCGACACATCAGGATCCTGAACGGACGAACTTGCGACTAGCTTCAGCTGCTTGTTGGGATCCTCGGGATCGCTGCTCCACCTGCAGCACAACCTGCTGGACCACCCGATCGATCAGCAGCCAGTGCTCCGTGCAGTGACCAGTATCTGCGCATGAAGAGGGTTAAAATTAGCTCAGCTTAGGACAAGGACACTCAAGTAGTACTCACAGGACAGCAGAAGCATGTGCTGTTAGGGAGAGGATGTGAGAATAGGCGGGCAAATGGCTGAGCAGGGTGGTGCAGTTCTGGGCCCGTGACATAGCTGCATTGCAGCCACTCAGACCGGCCACCTTCTGGTCATCGTGTATGCTGCCTCCTTCTCCTGCATGCGCAGATCGAGCTCCTGCTCCTTCTTCGCAAGCCGAAACTGCACATCAAAATCCTCACGTTCAGGCTCATCAATACGCTTGCGTGCTTGCGTTAGTTGCTCCTCTTTGTTTAGCAGACGCACCAGCTAGCCCACATCGATTTGCAGAGGCGACACATCAGGATCCTGAACGGACGAACTTGCGACTAGCTTCAGCTGCTTGTTGGGATCCTCGGGATCGCTGCTCCACCTGCAGCACAACCTGCTGGACCACCCGATCGATCAGCAGCCAGTGCTCCGTGCAGTGACCAGTATCTGCGCATGAAAAGGGTTAAAATTAGCTCAGCTTAGGACAAGGACACTCAAGGAGTACTCACAGGACAACAGAAGCATGTGCTGCAGCAGGGAGAGCATCTGGGAATAGGCGGGCCAATGGCTGAGCAGGATGGTGCAGTTCTGGGCCCGCGACACAGCTCCATTGCAGCCAGTCAGACCGGCCACCTTCTGTTCATCGGGTAGGCTGACCTCGGTTACCAGACGCTCCAGACGGGCACGAATTATGTTGCTCGCTGAGCAAGTGATGCTGTAAATCCATTCGGTGGTCTGCGGTGCAACCGGACAGGGCGGCGGTGTTGGTGGCATCATGGTCGGCGCCATCGATGGCGGTGGCGGCGGTATGGCCTTGAGTATGGCCGAAGGTGGTGGCGGCGGTGGCGACACAGCTCCATTGCAGTCAGTCGGGTATGCTGTCCTCGGTGACCAGACGTTCGAGACGGGCCCGCTCCTGCTGCTCACAAAGGAGCGATGCTACAGATCTACAAGAAAGTTGTGAAAAATGATTTACTTTTGGATAAAAGTACTGAAAAAGTAGCTGATCGCACTAGAAAAAGATAAGTCGATCACTTTCAGTTTTTAAATATTATACATTAGTTGGTCACACTACAAAAAGCTTGTTTAATATGATATGGTCACACTCTCTCTCACATGTTTGGAATTGCATACTTTTGGGGTGCGGTGCAGCATACTTTTAAGGTGTACAATGAATTTGGAGAAAATTTAATTCGCTTACTGCTGCTAGCTAATTTACAATATGAAGTTCTGTGCGGTTGGTTCGGAACATGGCTCAGACCAGGCTAAGTTTCAGCAAAATTCCGACAGGAGGCGCCCCTCAGGAGGAGGAACTATATATCGACGCATTTCCGCGAATTTATCGCATGTTGAAAAATCCAATTGAAACATATTTTTATCGGAACTATAGGGTTTTCAGTTATAATATTTCACAGGGTAGTGAGACCTTAGGTGCCTAACAATTTTGCATTAAAATCTCCATTTCGAAAAAAAGGCGACATACGAAACTTTTGCGGAAATGTGTCGATATATATATTTATTTATTTATTTGATTTCTGGGTATTATAATTTCAGTCAGAAACTTAAAACGCAATGAACGAGCCATTTCCGACCCTATAAATCATATATATTCTTGATCAGCAGCCGCAGGCGAATCTTTCTAGCTATCTAATGCAGAAAATAAAAATGTTCAAAAATTATAAATTAAAAAAAAAGCAAAAAAGCAAAAACCCGTAAAAATTTGAATTTTCTAAAATTTTAAATTGAGTATGCAGATTTATTAATCTACTAACAACTAACAATTGCAAATTGCGAGAGAATTTCGAAGTGTCCAAGTTATTTGCCTTTTTTTTAAAGAGCAATTATAGTAGATAGTTCAAGGAACCCATGGAAAGCGCTTCTATCAGCAAACCCAGAACATTGACGGCTTCAATGATGACTCGCTGACCAAGGGGCAGCAGGAAGTAGATGAGAAGCACCTGGGTGCCGGCTTCGAGGCAGAGGCAACCTGCACCACAGAAGGTGCCACTAAGCCGGAAGGTTCTCCGTGTGCTACTGGGAAAGCGGACTAATCAAAGATGATGAAATAATCTTCTTATCTCTTGAAGGCATTGAGGCAGAGGTGACCAACACCACTGATGAAGGCATCAAGGGAGAAGATGCCACTGAAAAGCAGACTGAAGAGGAGACAGCAGAGTCAATAACATATATAACATATATAAACTGTATAATCATAAATATTATTTTTAGAATAGTAAAAATAAAAACAAGCTATTTTCAACTGCAAATTTTGTTATATTCAAATGCCGGGAAGCTCTGCAAGATTTTTCCGTCTTGGATATGCATCGGAAGGTCAAATTAATTGGTTGCGCGTCGCTCTCCCGAGACTCGGTGTGGTTCCCCGCCACAATCCATTGCCACTGGGAACTATTCGATACACTTGCAGAAAATATTGCCAAAAATGTATAATTTATTCTTTGACTTAAACACATTATAATGTGTTAATTATTTTTTTCTTAGTTACCTTATAGATTGGCCTTCATTTCAACTAAATAAATACATTTTTTTCCATGTTACCGAACCGTTTATGGGTAATCATCAATCAATCGTTGTACAACCCAGCGATGATTTATTGAGCTGATGGCGACTACTGCACAAATCCCTTGATATGGACTCGATTTTTCGGTTGATTGATCGGGTCACCAGATGGGTTTTGTTTGAATCACACAAAATTAGCCATGGAAAGGATTAAGTAAGTATTGTAGGTGCTTTTTCAAAAATAAAAACAAATGAAAAAATGTTAGAGAGCTATCTCCGGCCACCTCCAAGGCCCCAAAGAATCCGTGTCGGGCAAATAAATATTTGTTGTCAAATACTGTAGTTCGACGTGCATGGCCCCCTTTGTTGAATTAAGTGTTCCATTGTCTGCTGCCTTTGAGCTTAGTTGCGCTCAGGGTTGTCAGGTTGCCAGGTGAGCGAACGGGGCTGTCACCAATCTATCCCTTGACCTATGGCCTCTCTACTCTCGTAATTTAATTCAATACCCCTTTGTCTGTCGAAAGTGGGGTAGCTATGCGCCATGCTGGAGTCATTTTCATACCCTTTCTGGGTCTATTAATCTCAGTAAAAAGCATAAAACGACATGAAAGAGTCATTTTCATATATATTCTTGATCAACATCAATAGGCGAATTTCTCTAGACATCTCCGGCAAAAAAATGTTTCAAAATTTTCAATTGAAAAAAGCAAAGGGGTTACATTTTTAAAATTTGCAAAAATTGACAAATATTTTAATATTCTAAAATGTTAAATAGAGTAAGCAGATTTATTAAACTAATTAAAACTAACAGGAAACTATTTTTCGAATTGAAGTTAATGCATTTTGTCGTAAAAATATTTATGAAAAAATGGGAATATTTAATTTCGATGTGCTCCCATAATTCAATTGCAAATTGGGAGAGAAATTCGGAGTGTCCAAGTTATTTCCCTTTTTGTTTAAAGAGCAGTTATAATAGATAGTTCTAGGAACCCATGGAAATTAATGTCAAACTGGTCACAACTGGTTGGATTCGAACATCAAAGGCTTTACAAATTTTCACCAGCACCGTTTTAATTTCAACTTAATTTCTTAAAGCGCTTCTATCAGCAAACCCAGAACATGGACGGCTTCAATGATGACATTCTGACCAAAGGGCAGCAGGAAGTAGATGAGAAGCACCTAGATGCCGGCTTCGAGGCAAAGGCAACCTGCACCACAGAAGGTGCCACTGAGCCGGAATTTAAAGGGAAGCCTGAAAAGGGAGGCAAGGTTCTCCGTTTGCTACTGGGCAAGCGTGCAAGCAAGCCCGGTTCCACCGATGAGGAGCTGGGTCTGAAGAAGAAAAAGCTAGAGGATAGCAAGACCCAGGATGTGGCTAATGCCGCTCCATTCGAAGAAGAAGGCGATGCATCCAACAAGAAGCAGGAGCAAGAGGCTTTCGACGTTACCAAGATGCCGCCGGGATCTCCAAAGGCTGGAGATGGCACTCCACAACACAAGGGTGTCTCCGGACTAATCAAAGATGATGAAATAGTCTACGAATCTCTTGAAGGCATTGAGGCAGAGGTGACCAACACTACTGATGAAGGCATCAAGGAAGAAGATGCCACTGAAGAGCAGACTGAAGAGGATACATCAGAGGGAGACAAGGATGATGAAATCATTTTCGAAGTTGTTGAGGATTAGGCTTCAACAAACACAAATACTATTCACAAATATTAACAAATCATAGCAACAATATTACAATCAATTTTCTTGTCCTTGGTGAAAACTTCTAATATTATTAATAAAATAATATACTTTATGCTGCATTAGTTGATTTTATTAAAAAAAAAAGTAGGTGGTTTTCGGTGGGTTTCCTGGGCATCTTTGCGTCCTGATTCTTAACCGCTGCGACGGTTACGCCTGGTGTTCCTGTTCCTTCTTTCCCTGTTCCTGATCCTTCGCTCCCTCCTCCTCTCACGCCTCCTTCTCTCCCGCCGCCTCTCGGCCCGGTTGTTCCTTCTGCTGGACGAGGACGAGGACGAAGAAGGGGACGACGACGACGATGTGGTGGCCGGGCTGGCGGCGGGTGTTGCCGAGGGGGAACTGGAGCTGGGAGAAGTGGATGTAGAGGACGAGCTGGGCGTTGAGGTTGAAGATGAAGAGGGAGAAGTGGAGCTACTGGAGCTAGGCGAAGTCGAAGAGGAACTGGGCGAGGTTGAGGAGGAACTAGGTGAAGTCGAAGAGGAAGACGAGGATGAGGGATCCGACGAGGTGGTGCTCGAGGACGATGATGGGTCCGACGAAGTAGTCGAGGACGATGATGGGTCCGTCGAAGTAGTCGAGGACGATGATGGGTCCGTCGAAGCAGTAGAAGCTGGCGTAACACTGTTGGACAGAGCCAACAACAGGCAGGCCAGGAGAAGGCAGAAGAATCGCATCTTGCTGTGGAGCTTGGAAAACTCAAACTGTGATACTTTCCACAATCTCCACTAGGCTTATATATCCATCTAACCATCCATAGCCCCAGAATCCATCCCCTCGAAGATTGGCTATGTTTGGCGTGGACAAACATTACCCTGATCTGTCGTCTGTCTGTCTGGGCTCCAATCTTTGGCATTGTTTTTCTTTTTGTTCTTTATTTGCACAGCACACGCTTAGGAGCTTAGCATCCCAAAAATAATACATACTATTTGCTAAAACCCCGATCCGGAGTTGATACTCAGTCCGTAATTAGAAATTGACAATGCCATGTTGTTTGTGACTTCTATAAGTTTGTTTTCAATGCGAGTCATGGAATATTACCTGACAGAACTCTCTGCTTAAAGAACTCTGACACGCGTAAGGCGGATTTTCATCACGAATGAATAATAATATAGAGTAATATTAGAGAACGCCTGGGAATGGATTTCAAAGACTTTTAGGTATTTTAAAACCACTCTGAAGACTTGAATCTTGAACAGCTTAAGAATAGCATCGTTTTTCCATTGATTGGTATCCCATAGTTGTAACCAAGTCTAGCCTAAGCTCGCTGCTTGAGCTGATACAGGGGCAACCCGGCAGATGATTCGATAATGGCACCCCATTATTCCAGAGACTCGACACACGCGAACCCGAGATGGAGAGACACGCTAGTCAGTGATCATCTAACCCTCTTGCCCCCCGTAAAAGTCTAGGTTCTCTGAAACCTCTGTACGCGAACTACTTACTTCCTAAGTTACTCACTCTGATTGACATAGTGCCTCTCGTAACGTCGTCATGTTTGGATCGCTGCTAGTGGGTATTGTTTCGCTACTGGGCGTGGTGTATGCCTTCCTGGTGTCCACCTTTGGGCACTGGCGCCGGCGTGGTGTTCTGGAGCCGCGTGCCCTGCCGCTTCTGGGCTCCTTTCCCAATATCATCTGGCCAAGGCAGCACTTTACCATGGATATGCGTGATCTTTACATGTAATAAACAAAAAGCAGAATCATAATCAAACAGTAATCCAAACTTAATTCCCATCACCTTTAGGCAATACCGGGACAAGGAGAGTTACCTGGGTTGCTATCTGCTGCGTTCCCCCAAGCTGCTTGTTTTGGAGCCGCGGCTCATCTGCGAGATCTTTGTTAGCGCCTTTCGTCATTTCGAGGACAATGACGCCTCCCAGATGGTGGACACCTCCAAGGATCGACTGATCGCTCTCAATCCCTTTGTGCTGGAGGGCGATGAGTGGCGTCGCCAACGGGCAATATTCTCCACATTGCTGACCAACGGACGCATCCGCACCACACATGCCATCATGCAGCGCGTCTGCCAGGATCTCTGTGACTTCATCCTGCGAAAGGCGCCCAGCGGCGAGGATCTGGATGCAGTGGATGTAATATGATGTGCAGGAGGAGGAGGAACTTCTTCCCAGCTTGATCTATATTCTTTGTGTATACCCAGCTCGGTTTGCGCTTTACGGGTGAATCCCTTTTCGACTGCGTCCTGGGCATCCAGGCGCGCACCTTCACCGATAGTCCTTTGCCGGTGATGCAGCATAACCAGGAAATGTCTGCCGAGAACCGGGGTCTGGCCATTGCCGGCGCCGTTTGTGGCCTGTTTCCGAACCTGCCACGCCGCCTCCGTCCCAAGGTCTTCCCATGCTCCTTCGATCGTTTCTTTGGCGACATGATCAGCAAGGCTCTGCGGCTGCGTCGTGCCCATCGGCAGGAGCGGAATGACTTCATCAATCATCTGCTGGAGATGCAGCGGGAGCATAGCCTCAGCGAGGAGGACATGGCCTCCCATGCCATGACCTTCATGTTCGATGGATTGGACACCACCTCCAACAGCATTGCACACTGTCTGCTGCTGGTGAGAAGCCTGGATGATGATTCAAGATTCCTTCCAGCATTGATTCCTATTTAAATCTGGTCTAGTTGGGACGATATCCGGAGTGCCAGCAGCGGCTGTTCGAGGAACTGCAGCAGGCGTGTGCCGGGAGACAGCTGCCAGATCTGGATGCGCTCATCGATCTGCCTTACCTGAGTGCCTGCTTTGATGGTAAGCCGAGACCAGGGAGCTCCAAATCCAAGCTAATCACAATCCTTTCCCTGCAGAAAGTATGCGCATCTATCCAGCCGCCGGCTGGGCCTCGAAGATCTGCACCCGGGAGTACGAGCTGCGAGGCAGTCATCATGGCGAACCCCTTAAGGTGCGACCCGGTGACAAGCTGATGATTCCCGTGTATGCTCTGCATCACGATCCGGACTACTATCCGGAGCCGGAGGTATTCCGACCGGAGCGGTTTCTGGACGGCGGCTTGAAGAGTTACAAGCAGCAGGGTGTGTTCTTTGCCTTCGGCAATGGGCCGAGGCAGTGCGTCGGCATGCGTCTGGGCCTGGCCCTGGCCAAGGCCGCTCTAGCGGCCATTGTGCAGCGCTTCCAGGTGCTGGTCAGTACGCGTACCTTGCCGGGCATCGAGCTGGATCCGCACATCTTCGTGGGTGTCCACAAGGGCGGCATCTGGTTGCAGTTTGTCGAAAGGTAGAAGGGGTATTAGGGCATAGGCCTAATATATGTATGTGTATATACTTTCCCAATTCGAGGTCGACCTTTGTCAGTGGGGAGATTCAATAAAAAATTAGAGTGGGTCTGGGCTACACGACTGCATTCAGCGATCAGCATTCATTTGGGGAATTATGTCATCGTTCGGTGTCCAAACAGTGGAGATTCATCAATGGGACACCGAAGACGCCGCAAATGCACTCATACGGCGTACACTTGAAGAAATAATGGGATTTTAAGCAAGGTATGAAACTGTATTTGATGTACATATGTATTATAATAAAAGGGTATAAAACCTTAATTTATCAAAACAGTGAGTAAGTAACCTTCAGAAGCTTGAAACTCAGTGAAGTATTCATTTCCGACCCTAAAAAACATTTAAATTGCAGATTTATTACCCTAATAAAAACAAACACGGGACTGATGGAATAGAAATTAATGCATTTTTGACCTAGTTATGATAAATTTCGTGTTCGAGGGTCTAGGATTTTCAGCTTCCCAAAGATAGCTAACTTTCTTGTTCATTATTATACATATTATTAGTATACTATTATTATAAAAAGCTCTGTGGAGCATAAATAAGAGATCATCTAGATCTCTTGCTTCTTAAGTTTACCTCAGCAATTTTATATTAAACGACTTTAAACTAAACTGATACAAGTTTTCTTACCTTTAATTTAGCATTAATTTCCCACAGTGTCTTGCCCCGAAATCCGGTCTGACCTTTCACTAGTTCGGCTTCGCTTCTTTCTTATTTTGTATTTTGTATTTCTTACATTTGTTTTCTTAGAGCGGAAGCAAAACACAAATAGAAATCTGTCAAAGGCCCCCCGAACGATTCACCCAAAAGCCTCAATGGTAGTCAATGGCATCGAAGCCAAGATGAAGGTCACCATGGAGAGTGAGAGTGTGAGCCGGGGAAAGACACGCCTCCGGGATGGCTAATCATGGAGCAGAGACATCGCCGCGAATATCATTAGCTATTCAGTTTCACATATAATAAAAATATATGGCCTACTCTAGGGTAAATATAAATATCTTTGAATGGCTTTTAAATTGGCTTGCAAGCCGCGGGTTAATTTTGTAATATATTATATCAATGTGGGACCCCTTTAAAATCGAATAAAATGGGGGAACTATCCCAGTACTATCTCTTATAAATCGTATACTGACATCTTCTCTAAGCTGACTTTAGGGAAATCAAAGCCAAATGTTGGCCAAGAATCACAACTATTTTATGGCCATTATAAGTTCAAGGTCTGTGGACCACAGTCTCCTCCATTAAATCAACGATATTATTTACATATATTTTACGTAATTTTATTATTAGGGCATTTATTAGGTAAGAAATTCGAATCGCCAGTTGTTATTGCATGCAAATGATTTGATTTCGATTGCGATTTCGGGCTGTTCGTCCGGGGACTCGACTGTCGTGGACATGGATGCGGATTCGGATGTGACTGGCGGCAACGATTGGAATGCATGCGAAATGAGGCAGCGAGAAAACAAAACAAAATATATATAAACAAAACGAACGCTCGATGATGAAATTAACAACTAATCAGTGCTGGGAGCTGATCCCTCGATCTCCGAGACCACACAGTCCCTCACAGGCTGGCCACGGGATACAGACGCAGTGGCTTGCTGGCCTGTCGGACGATCCTGGTCCTGGGACGTGCCGGCGGCAGGTAGGCTCCTCCTCCACCAATCTGCTGGGGCTGAGCCTGGAGTCTGAGTGGTGCCTGGTCATCGAAGATCTTCACCGTTTGGACATGACTCTCCACACCGCTGTGGGCATTCTGGGTGACCACCTTGACCACATGATGACGCCCCTGGGGCTGTTCATTGCTGGCACCCAGGATCTTGATGGTCTTGACACCGGCGTGGTCGAGGGTCTCCAGCACCTTGAACGTGCGCGTTGCATGGGGCTTCACAATCTGAACGGTTCGCACCCGAGAACTGCCACGCAGTGAAGGAGGAGCAGCCACTGGAGCAGTGGCCGCCATAGCAACATTCACCGCCACCTGGACATCCTTGGGCATGAACTTCTGCAGCGACTGCTGTGCCTTGAAGCTCAGCGTGGGCGTCGGTGCCGGAATGGAGACGGGAATGGGCTGGAGCTTCTGGCTCTGCACCACGCGATGGTAGTGATGATGCAAATGCTGTTGCGGCTGGCGGGGCACAGCGTTGCTCACAAAGGCGGGGGCATAGAAGCGGGGACGCTTGGACTGCTCACGGTACATGGGCGCCACCTCGACCACCTGCTGTTGGTGGTGATGATGCTGGTGCTGGTGCTGCACCTGCTGCTGCACCTGCTGTTGCACTTGGTGATGAACATGGTGATGGTGTTGCTGGCGGACACTCACAGGCTGTGCGTAGCGGGCGAAGGGCTGGACGGTGTTCATGTAGCTCCTCAGGGAGTGGATGTGGGTCACCTGTGTGGGTGCAGGTGCGGGCAGGGCAATAGGAGCGGGAGCGGGAGCTGCGATGCGAACAGGTGCGGGAGCTGGAGCAGGAGCTGTTACATGGACGGGAGCTGGAGCTGGAGCTGCCACATGGACGGGTGCCGGAGCTGGAGCTGCCACATGAACGGGAGCCGGAGCAGGTGATGGTGGCAGATAGCCGGAAGCTCTATATTGCTGCTTCTGCTGCTGATGATGATGGTGGTGCTGATGCTGATGCTGGTAAGAGCTCGAAACGGAAACGGAGACAGGGGCCAAAGCCGGAGCTGGTGCTGGCAAGGGAGCTGGAGCTGGAATGGAAACTGGAAGAGGTGCAGGTGCGGAAACGGGAACAGGAGCCAGAGCGGGAGCAGTGGATGGAGGCAGATAACCCGGGGCCGTGAAGTGCTGAGGAGCCACTGGCTGTGCCTGGGCCTTGGGACGACCATAGACGATATCGGCGCCCTGTTGCTGCTGCGACACCTGCAACTGGGACTGCACAATGACATGTTGTTGCTGATGATGATGTTGCTGCTGCTGCTGCTGATGATGTTGCTGCTGTTGATGTTGCTGCTGCTGTTGCTGTTGCTGCTGCTGTTGTTGAAGCAGCAACTGTTGCTCTTGCTGCTGCTTGAGCAGCTTGGTCTGTGTCTGGAGGCTGTGTAGCTCGGCAATGGCCGCCTCGGCATTATCGGGTTTGATGAAGTCGTAGCCATCGGGCAAGGCGCCTGGATGACTCACGGTAGCCTGTGCGGAAGCGACAGCTGTCACCTGCTGCTGGTGTTGCTGCTGCTGCACCTGGTGCTGATGGTGCTGCTGCTGCTGTTGCACTTGGATCTGTTGTTGTGGCTGCTGCTGCTGGTAGGTGATCTGCGGCTGGGCCTGGATCTGTGTCTGGACCTGAGGACGTGGCTCATCGTAGCCAGGTGGCAAGTAGCCAGGGGCACGATACTCGCCAGCGGCCTGTTCCACAGAAGCCACACTCTGCACGGAGGCGACACTCTGCTGGAGGGCCACGGATTGGGTCAGCGACAAGGGCAGCCGATCAGGATTGGAGTAGTCATAGCCAGGCGGCAGATAGCCAGGAGCCTGGTATTCCTGAGACTGCCCGGCAATTTGCTGCTGCTGTTGCACCTGGACTTGCTGCACTTGCTGGACTTGCTGCACTTGCTGGACTTGCTGCACTTGCTGCACTTGCTGCACTTGCTGCACTTGCTGCACTTGCTGCACCTGCTGCTGCTGAGGTGGCAGATAGCCCGGAGCTTGGAAATCGGCCGCGCTTTGAGCCTGGACGGAAGCAGTGCTGCTAACTGCAACGCTGCTGCTGCTGGCCGTGCTCACTGGTGGCAGGTAAGTTGGTCCCTGAAATACCTGTTGTGGCTGCTGCTGAGGCTGCTGTTGGTAGCTGATGGGCGTGGCTGTTGGCGGAAGGTAATCCGGAGCCTGGTAATTGGAAACAGGCTGGGAAACCTCTTGGGCGACGGAGGGTGCCAGGTATTGCTGCTGTTGCTGCTGCTGCTGGGGAACCACTTGGGGCTGGGACTGCACTGTGGGCGGCAAGTAGCTCTGGCCACTGAAGGCCGCCGAAGAAGAGACTGCAGCTGGAGCAGAAACAGAAGCTGTAACTGGAGCAGGCTCCTCGCGCTGGAAATCATGCTGGTAGTTGGATGGGAAAGGCACGGCAACTGATGACGCAGACGCCGATGCGGATGCAGACGTAGCCGGAGCAGGGGCTGGGGCATCGGCAAAGTTCAGGAAGGACACAGCCAAACTGTCATCGTGGCCATGGACCAGAGATGGAGCTGCAGCCTGGGCCTGAACCTGAACCTGCTGTTGGACCTGCACCTGCTGTTGCTGGATCTGCTTGTGGGGTGGCAGATAGGCTGGACCCTTGCCCGCAAAGTGGTTGTGAACCTCGAAGATCTGGTAGCCGGAGTTGCCATAGTTGCTCTCCTGGAACTGCTGCTGCTGTTGCTGCTGGCGCAGTTTGAGCGATATATCCGCTTGGGTTAATCCACAGAGCGCACAGATAGCGAGCGTAATAAAGACGCCAAAGAACTTGACCGAGAACGAAACAAAATAAAGATACACTTTTCATTTGGGGAAAATCACACAATCTCATTTCTTAATTAACTAAAGTCACTGGGTGTCACAGAAAAAAAAGAGGAATGAAGCCATTATCAAAACACTGATAGATAGCATATATCCTTGGTAATCCTTTAAGTAATCCTTGTCACTCCGCCTTACATTCATCTTCACGTTGGTCGTGCTTGAGCCCTCGATGTCCAACCGTTTAATGATGAACCGAATGACCCAACCGCTGGTTTTATATCCAAAGAAGGGCTCATCGCAGCGGCAGCAGCATTAACTTGAAACTAGTCTGCGCATTTTCCAAAGAGCTCCAACTCCATCGTCATCTTTCGCTAGCTGATCTCCATTGGAGGCTGCGCAACTTTTTCAAATTTTTCTCTTCGCATTTTGCTCGAAAAATCGAAAATGCAGATTCGGTTTATTGAGTTATCGCCGTCTTTGCGTCGTCAACACGCAGAAAAACAAATAGCCGCGAATTTATTAGACAAAATAAAAACAGCTAAAGGCAAACGCTTGTTTAACTTGTATTACCAAATATATACAACCTAAGTAGCAGCTAATGACAGTTTAGTGAGTGATTAACACAAAAATGGAGAATATTTTCATGAAATTTATGTTTGTTTAACTTTTTTGGGAACAGGAATAATAACTGATAACTAAATGTTTGGATTTAACTACATGAATTTATGGGATTTTAATAGTTGCAGGCCTTCTATGGGTTAATAATAATTCATAGTTTATTACCAGTAAGGTATTAATTATTAAAAAGTAACTAAGCTCACATTTAAAGACATTAAACTTAAAACCAAATGTTTTCTTAGAAATTATAATGTTTGGCTTTCCATAGCTCTTTCTTGTTAAACCTGAAAACTATCTACAAATATGCATAAATATATATCTTAGGGCTTGAAAAGATCCTTATTTATTTATGGATTTGTATAGATATAGAAGAGCTGTTTTTCCTCAAGTGTAGATCAGTAAATTCCCGATCCCGTGCTATGTTTTTTTTTTCTTTGGGCGGATGTAATTAATACGCCTGCTCCCAAAAATGCCTCGGACATGGGACATCAGTCACATTGGCGATGGGGTTCTCTGAGTTGACTCCGGAATAAGGGGATTGCGCAATCCGGCGATGCTCGTTATTGGCAGATTGGCGGCTTGGCAGATTGGATTTCCTGCTATTAGCTTTGCATATGTTTATATAGTTTCGCAAAATGTTCGCTAAATATCTGGACGGCATTGCCGAAAATGATTACATCTGTCATTAGCCATGCGTGTGTCTCTCTCTCCCCACTCCGGTTCAGTTCGGTTTGGATTTGGGGCTTAGGTTTGGGTTTCAGTTTCAGCTTGCTTTGGTGTGTCTTAGTTTGGGCCATGAATTAAACATTAAACAGTGATAAGCATGTCGCCTCACCTCCGGCACGGATAATGCCACCTGTAGCTGCCGTTGGATTCTTGTGCAATATATCTAGAGATTTATGAACATATTTAGTCGATAATGAAGGCTTCAGCACAATTTGGTTTTAGTATCTTTTTAGTAAGGTTTTTTGACTAATCAAGATTTTTTTAGAAACTAGAAGAGTCGTCTGGCGCCTACAAAGGATAGAGGATCGGAGGAAGTCAGCAGGCTGACTTCCTGCTGAGCTCCATCGCACCTTGCACCTATTTCAAACTCTATTGAATTTTCATAGGTATTTCCCAAAACTACAGCTTAAGTTCATAAAATCCTAAAATATCATAAAAATCAAAACCTGTAGACCAAATTAAAAATGTAAATGTAGATGTTTAAAAAATTCGCAAAACCGCATTCCAAACCGTATAGCCCAAAGTCTTGCACATTGCCTGAAATAATTATTATAAAACAATACATATTAACAAGTATTAAAAAAAAGAAACAAGAAAGGAAATTAGCTCAGCGAACCTGGAGTTCTTGCGATTTGCTATCGATTGATAGGTTCGAGTCGGACATCGATTTTTATTGGTATATTAAAATTTTTTCAACAAATATAATGTTTCAAAAACTCTTAACTTGGCCAAAAATGCCTTAATTTCAATTCGGAAAGCTGTTCTATGCTAGTTTTTATTGGGTTAAAAAATCTGAAATTAAAGAAAAATTTGTTTGCCGGAGATGGTTAGACAGATTCGGCTGATGGTGCTGATCAATAATATATATGATTTAAATGACTACATCACTGCGTTTCAAGCTTCTGACTAAAATTATAATACCCTGCAATGGTATAAACATACACAGAATCCGGATATTTAGGCCCTAAATCAAAGCGGAACGAAAGAGGTTACCCCTTCATGCGTCGCACAATACATATATTGTTTATCTCAGAGACATGACTCTATTCATCGACACAAATCAATCGCTGATGCTGTGATCAGTAATCAAAACAAAACAGTGGGAATTGTATAACCAGAAATGCGACATCTATTTCGTTTACTTTTCCTCAGAAAGCCGTCTCATTTTCCCATGGCGCTCCGGGGGTTTACCCCCTCTCTCTATTTCTCTCTATCTTAATATCTATCTCTATTTTTTGGGGAAACCTTGACCCATCTTGGGCCAAATATTTCATGCCAATGCATACACAAATGCCGGACGACCGCTAACAACTTGGCCAACAAAGGTGGGACATGCAAATAATTGAATCGAATGGAATCGAATCGAATCGAGGTAGAAAATCACAACGGAAAAGGGTCCGGGCTCACAGACACTTATTAACTGATTAAATAAAACAATGTGCTAACGTTTTTATTATGGCTTTAATGGCCGATTTCTTCACATTTAATTTTTTATTGGGGAACTCCAAAAGGCAGTCGGTTTCATTTTGAATTCTCTTTTGGTTGCTTTTATTTAGAACATTTGGGAAATTAAATTAACCTTTTTAAGGAAAATATTTTATATAAATAGACATAAAAACAAGAAAGAAGCTTATTCAAGCATTAAGTACCAATCCACTTTCGCATTGATAAAAAAGAAAACTAAATAAAACATTTATGTGAAATAAAACATTAATATAAATGATGATTCCTCCCATCCTCCAATGACAACGTAGATAGAAAATTCATAATAATATTGTTGCTATGATTTGTTAATATTTGTGAATAGTATTTGTGTTTGTTGAAGCCTAATCCTCAACAACTTCGAAGATGATTTCATCATTCTTGTCTCCCTCTGATGTATCCTCTTTAGTCTGCTCTTCAGTGGCATCTTCTTCCTTGATGCCTTCATCAGTGGTGTTGGTCACCTCTGCCTCAATGCCTTCAAGAGATTCGTAGACTATTTCATCATCTTTGATTAGACCGGAGACACCCTTGGGTTGTGGAGTGGCATCTCCAGCCTTTGGAGATCCCAGCGGCATCTTAGTAACGTCGAAAGCCTCTTGCACCTGCTTCTTGTTGGATGCATCGCCTTCTCCTTTGGATGGAGCAGCATTAGCCACATCCTGGGTCTTGCTATCTTCTAGCTTCTTCTTCTTCAGACCCAGCTCCTCATCGGTGGAACCGGGTTTGCTTGCACGCTTGCCCAGTAGCAAACGGAGAACCTTGCCTCCCTTTTCAGGCTTCCCTTTAAATTCCGGCTCAGTGGCACCTTCTGTGGTGCAGGTTGCCTCTGCCTCGAAGCCGGCATCTAGGTGCTTCTCATCTACTTCCTGGTGCCCTTTGGTCAGAATGTCATCATTGAAGCCGTCCATGTTCTGGGTTTGCTGATAGAAGCGCTTTGAGAAATTAAGTTGAAATTAAAGCGGTGCTGGTGAAAATTTGTGAAGCCTTTGATGTTCGAATCCAACCAGTTGTGACCAGTTTGACATTAAATTCAATGAGTTTCCTGATCCCATCTATCTTTTAGTATTATAGAATTTCGTTTTTAGTTTTACGAAAACCTAATTACTATATAATATAACTGACAGAGAAGCTGTTGTTAAATGTACAGGATCAGTATCTATTTTTAGCAGAAAGTATCTATTACCAGTAAGTAACTCTGAACAGTAAGTATCTATGACCAGTAAGTATCAATAAACATTAAGTAACTATGAGCAGTAAGTAACTCTGAACAGTAAGTATCTATGAGCAGTGAGTAACTCTGAACAATAAGTATCTATGACCAGTAAGTATCAGTATTTGAATGGAACTTAGAGATATTCTTCTATATAATCTTACTAGTATATTTTTCGTAGCATAGCGAATCGGAGGACTATATATATATACATATATATAGCTCCCATAGGAACGATCGGAAAATTTTATAAACAACTATGGCCAGCAATTAATTATGAGCATTAAGTAAGTATGAGCAGCAAGTAACTCTGAACAGTAAGTATCTATGAGCAGTAAGTAACTCTGAACAGTGAGTATCTATGAGCAGTAAGTAACTCTAAACAGTAAGTATCTATGACCAGTAAGTATCAATAAACATTAAGTAACTATGAGCAGTAAGTAACTCTGAGCTGTAAGCATCTATGAGCAGTGAGTAACTCTGAACAATAAGTATCTATGACCAGTAAGTATGTATGATCAGTTACTAACTATGAACACTAGTAAACAATGACTTGCAACTTTTGTAACACAACACATTTCTGAGACGTGGCCGGCAGCAGTCACTTCGTTCCGGGGATGTTAGAACTGGTTGGGAATTATATGTTCTCACGTGCGAGATTTGTTTTGGAACAAATTTAAGCTATTTGAATGGAACTATGGAGATATTCTTCTATATAATCTTACTACTATATTAGTCGGAGCATGGCGAATCGGTGGACTATATATGTATACATATATATAGCTCCCATAGGAACGATCGGAAAATTTTATAAACAACTATGGCCAGGAATTAACTATGAGCATAAAGTAAGTATGAGCAGCAAGTAACTCTGAACAGTAAGTATCTATGAGCAGTAAGTAACTCTGAACAGTGAGTATCTATGAGCAGTAAGTAACTCTAAACAGTAAGTATCTATGACCAGTAAGTATCAATAAACATTAAGTAACTATGAGCAGTAAGTAACTCTGAGCTGTAAGCATCTATGAGCAGTGAGTAACTCTGAACAATAAGTATCTATGACCAGTAAGTATGTATGATCAGTTACTAACTATGAACACTAGTAAACAATGACTTGCAACTTTTGTAACACAACACATTTCTGAGACGTGGCCGGCAGCAG